GAAATGAGAGACAGTGTAAAATAGACAAGCCACCGAAAAATACAAATTTTTGGGGTGCGTTTTTTTAGCATTTTTTTGGGGTTAGGATTAGGGTTTAGAAGCAGATTTTATAATAAACAAGTATAAGTGGGTTTTAGGAGCTCAAATATAAACTTCTCATTTCATTTTAATCTGATTTTATTATGATCTGTGACAATTATTTAATGTTGTTCATGCCATATAGGCACTATAATTTTTTTTAAGGTTTTTGCACAAATTTTCTATTATTCGCACTTTTACTACTTTTTTTTGTCATTTTTCATCAGTTAATCCAGATTCAACAGACTCACGAATTTGGTCATGTAGGTTCGAATATTGAAAAAGAAGTGGTGAATGCCCCAGACTATCATAGTTTATTACTTCATGATTTTCGATGAGTATTTTTTTTTTTTCTTTACAATTTTGCATATACTTAGCATTTCTTTTTAACTTGGCAATTCTATTCTTATTAGCTCAATTTGAGTCTGAAGGTTGCTTATTTTTATATATGTATCATGTTTAAACTGAGAATCTGTTAAAATATTGTAAATTTGCTTGAATTCTGTAAGTTTTTTTTTTGTTATTGTGATTTCATTTGCTACCTTTTTTTGGGCTGCTGCATTTGCGAAGACTTCAGGTACAGATTCTACCAGATAGATAGTAGAGAGGAAGGGTTCTAAGTCCTCTTCAGGTATATATCTTGATTTTACTGTTTGTATATTATATAGATTAAACAAAGTGTTTAGGTATTTTTTAATTATATCATCAATTTCTAGTGCATTTTTGGTTTTGATTTTATTCCATTTTTGAGTTGCCTCATTACAAGCTTTAGCACGATTAGGGGCACTGTTTCCTGTCTTCATCATAATACTATATATGTATATATTTGAAAACTTTTGATATTGATTTGCTGGCGAACTATAAATCAGGTTTTTTTTAAACTTTGAAGTTAAAAAATACATTTGATGTGATACTTTCTTTCTATCCTTGTCAGTGTTTATGCTTTGTTGGTTGCAGAAGCCAAGTTTATTTTGTTCACTTGAATTGCCGTCTTCATTATGTCTGATGGATCTATTACTTTCATTTTGTTCACCAGCAGCAGGATAAGAAAGCATAGGGTGATATATTGTTAGTTGCGTTTGAGGTATATTAGAAAGAAACAAAGTATCTTGTTGAGTTAATATAGTGGATTGTGCAGAACTACTGCCAATTTGTCTAACAGAATTTTTATTGTCAGTAGCTTTCTCTTTGCCTTTGGATGTTCTTATACTTTTTTCATAGTAAGAACCAAGTTTAAGCTGATTATTCATTTTTATAAAAAAAAAATGTGATGTGCGAAGTGAACTATCTATATATATATTATAAAGTGTAACTAGTGTCTTGTTCAGCCAATCAAATTGCTAATTTTGTACACGTTTATAATTAGGATTTGCTTAATTTTTATTGGCTCTTTTTCTTATATTACCTTGAGGTGAGGGGGTAGATGTCTATAGTAAATTGATATTACATAATTTATATCATAGCCCTAATTGGTTGTTGCCTTTAATTTTACCTACACAGTAAGAAACTGTCCCTTAACTGTATTCCAGGCAAATTTGTCTGGAAAATTATTATAAATATTGTTATGATCTATTTTTTTTAAATTTTAATATATTTAAATAAAATTTTTTTTGATAATATTTGAAAATA